TGAGGTGCTTAGGCAATAAAAGTAGGGGGGAGGAATGAAATATTACTTATTATGGGTTTTAGATAATTTCCGCTCTTTACGGCTCACATGTCTGAATTGCCATAGCAACAGCCAATTTATGTCTTTTCAACTGTTTAATTACTTGTAAAAATTGTCTTGGGTCACCGGTTACTGCACCAGTCCAAGAGAACTCATAATCGTTGTGCCTTCTGCGTAAACACAAATTTTGACTACGAGAAGATAACATCTGAATGGAAACGATGGCCATCGTCCCAAGGATTACTTAGTCAATTAATCAACCACGTTGTCTGTCATGGTCTCCACAGAAACGTTGATTTAATTGTGATTAAAAGTTTCTTTTAGTCAACGAAGCCGTGTACATGAATTTTCGAAATATTTTCCCAATGGGTTAAATCATTGAATCCTCAGCCGCATGAATGCCAGTGATTTGTACCCTGTTGTAAGTAGTATTGTGGTTTAATGTTAGGTGAGTGGCCTAAATTCTCAAGATGATACCCAAAATATTGCAAACTCATAACTGAAATGCAGTTATCACAAAACAAATCCCTTTGCTATGGAACCTTTTGAAAAGCCTATCGGTAAAAGAACAGAATTTTTAGCAAAAAGATTTGAATCTTTTTATGTGCTTACTTTCGTTTGTTCAGTTAGCCGATTGAACAAAAACTACAAATTAAGTCCTACTTATAAAAATCAATTTGATTTCAGTGCAAAAGAACTTTTAAATCGGCTACTAGGAACTGAGCTAGCATCCGTAGGCATTGAGTCATGAAACAATAAATTAGAAACTCTTATTCCCAACCTTTAAATGTAACATTTTTCGGCGTATTTAATCAAATAAAAAATTATTTGAAACAAATTATACCCAAGCTGAGGGCAGATTTGTTTCTGGCTGTCACTGGTACTGGTTTGCCGCACACAATGCATTCACAAGGTATTAATTTGGTATATCAACGAACATATTCAAGATTGACTTTCATTTATACATTAACGACATTTATTTCTATATTAATTTCTACAACAGCTTTGAAAGTAAACAGCAAAAAATTTTTTGAACATGGGGATGAGATACTCTTGGCTCCTTAAGTACAGTGTAAAATGTCTTATTGGTTGGCGTCCGAAATCCGCAATGGTAATAAACACAAAATTCACTTCTGGCTTCAGGAGTTTTCGTTAATTTAAGTGGTTCCTGATTATGATAATGGACAGATCTCAACTATGTACCTAACAAATACAGGCAATTTGAAAGAAAATGGAGGACATGTGGTTCATTGAAAAAGGGAGGAGAATAGAACAGTCATCCTTCACATTGCATTAAAACACCGGAACATACTGATACTTTTAGAGGTCTTTTGACATTTGAACAGTTTTGTTCTACTTGAGAACCAATAAATTCATTTGGGTCTCTACCAACTATGGTCAAAACTGTTTGAGGCTTATTGGCATCACTAGTGCGCGAATAAGCTGTACTATAATTTGCACAACAGTGCAGTTCATTTGCACAACTCACTGCCGGGTTCTTGCAAATTTGCCTTAATTTTACTCCAAACAAAATGCTTTAACTTATTTAAATTTTAGTAAAATCAGAAGGCACTTCTTTATTACGAGAAATCAAATGACGTGTAACTTTATTAAAAAAACCACGGAAGCTAATTTGAAAGTTTAAACACTAAACGAGCGGACCCTTTACAAAGTACCACCATAAGACTGTCTACTAAATTCATTGGTGAACATTCTAACATTAATTTGCTGTGTAGCTTATTATATAATCAAATATTTAACTCTTGAAATACAAGCAGAACTAAATCCGTCACAATAGTTTGTGACAATAATAATTAATACTCTACAAAGCAGACGCACTCGTACAAGATTCTGCAAACCATCAAATACTCAAGCTAATTTTCGTGAGAGGGATAAAGTATAATATTATTATACTCTCTGATTAATTTAGACCAATTTGTAAAAAGCTCTTGAGAAACTACTTTTATTTCCAATCTGACAGGTTGTATCAAATTAATATCGCTTTGGCGCAAAAATCAATCACAAATAGTAATCTCATTGTTTGGGTATACATTGTTACCTATATCCTAGCTTATACAGTTTGTCTCAATATGCAACAAGCTTTTTTAAAAAAGAGTTTTATTTTGTAGATATTAACACTTTTGCTGTAATTAGCACCAATTCGCATTCAGTTTTTTATTATTCATGACCAGTAATAGACATGTATTGAAAATGCTTACGCGGGACGTGAATATGATGTTCTCCCAATTGTATCATTCCTCGTCGATTCACATTTCGTAAAATATCGAAAAAAGCACCAAATGGATAAAGGTGACGCCATGGATCAGATGATGGTCTCCTATTTTCTGAGATAATTGGTTTTTGAAATACCAGTGCAATCAAATCAGGTAAATCATCACACTGAAATATGCACATTTATTCTGAAAAAAACATGTAAGTTTGATAAATGCTGCAACTGGAACACTAACGTCATACGCTGGTCAATGACAGGATTTGGTTCTTTTGCAGAGCAAAGAAATTCATTTTAAAGTCCCCATAAGTGCAGTGATTATTGGGACCGGCAACCGGAAATGTAGCTACATTAAATTTCATTACATCAATAAGCACATTCTCCAATCACGATTATCTGCCGAATTGAAGTACCGTTGTTTGCTTTTATATGTTCGGCCTTTACTAAATTTTTGTTTTGCCGAATGACATATTTGCTTCAACAAACGCGCAGTAGAAAACAGACCTAAGTTTGAGTGTTAATCATAACTTTTAAACTTAAAAAGAAATGTCTAACGGCAGATAATTTACTTCAGGTTTTGTAATACGATCATTTTGCACTAATTAAAATTTCAATTATCACTGCAGCCACTTCTTGTTTCCATTGTTCATTGGCAGCCCTAGAACCCGTAAACAATGAGAATGGCATCAAGACCACACAAACCAACCGTTTCTTTGTTCCTTGTGGCAGTTTGTGTCAGTTCAGGCAATTAAATTTTCTGAGTTTCCATCTAGAGCAGAAAATTAATTAGCAAATTTTAAGGTTAGTTGTTGAGCGCAGCTCAAGTCATTGAACTTACCGG